TTAAGAGTAAATTAAAGGCGATCATTTACATAACGACCAGAGGCTGTTTACGTTTTACGGCGTACAAATCACTATCTTATTATTTGCGCTAAATTGGAATGTCAATCCACATATCGATTTTTATTCGTCCTGGCCCTGTTCAAAAGGTATCTCTTTCACCTCGTTTTTACATTTAATTTCATCGTGCGTGAGCTATAAGCACAATTCTTCGCGTTATAGGCCATACCGGCGTCGCTGAATGAATTATTAATAACTAGAATTATGGTCGATAACTGTGCTGCATTGATGCTACACTTCGATACGCGACTAATTATTACCGTCGGCATTGTTGACTCGATAATAAATTAGAACTAACGAAACCATCGATGCCCAGCCTTCATATGTAGGCCAGTGTCTCATAATTTACGTTAAATTAAAACGTCGCTTTTATTCGTCGCAGCGCTATTCAGAAAACGTCGGCCGGTTTTCCAGTCTTAATCTGATCTATGCGCTCCTATTTTTTTTTTCTAATCTTAGCCGCCGCGTATCGGAGCCGCTGATGAATTATTAATGGCTAAAATGTGCTAAAATTATGCTCGATAACCGCTCCGCGCTGCGGTACGTGTCCATAATCCCGCTGCCCAGGTATCTCAAAAACGCGTCGCCGTCGACTACAAATTATCACGCGCGAGAGGAATTAATGAAGCGTGACTTATCGATCTCGTGTTTTTCTGCTTTTCATTTACTATTTTCCCCGGAGAGACCGAGGACTCCGCATAAGCGAGCGCGATAAACACACACGACACGACTTGCATTGAGAATTTATTAAAAAGCCGCATAATCGATATATTAATTCGCTCATAAAAGTGGCGAATGGGAATTTAAAGTTCATAAAGTAATAATGAGAATCGAAATTATAACAACGCAACGTCTAGAATTTTATCGGGAGATATATCTTTAAGAAACACATGATTGACTATAAATTATGCGCGACAGGAGTTAATGAAGCATAAGCTCGCTAATTTCACGCTGCATCTACGAGACGGTAATTTGAAGGCGCGCGACTCTGGCGCACGATTCGCGCCCCCGTTCGCATTGCCTACTTACCCTTCCGACCGGCCCCTCGTTTCCCTCACCCGGCGGGATATCATCGATCGTGAGGATCGTGATCGTGATCGTGATCGTGATGAGGCACGCGGCTCATTTCATACGTGCCAACCGGCGCGGCGCGTGGGCGCGGATAATTACTGTTTTGAAATCAGTATCGACCGCGGCATAGCGCGCCACATCGGCCCGTAACAATAGTCACGCGGACCTCAATCGACGATCCATTATCGACTTCTTTCGGGCATACGCGGTACACACAATGAAAAATTAATGGAGTTTCTGCCCGACGTCAGGCAGGCCAAATACGCATTGAATCGTATTACAGCGCACGAGATCCTATGCATTTCGTATCGATAATATCATTTGTGTTTCCACCGCTCATTTATGACGTTGCATCGCCTTATATTAATGTTATCCTGAACTCATTTCGAAAAGTATTACTCGCGGCAAGCTTCACATATCTATTCTGTTTAAGATTACACGCAGCCTCTCGTGATTAGTTTTTTTATTTTATCTAGAGAATTGGATTTAAATTTTTTGTAATCATGTGGAGAAAATTGAAACAATTCCCAACGAAAAACAGAGGAATATAAAAGTTGGCGGACTATATTAATTTTCAGAAGAGAAGTTTTCGCCAATATAAAATTCTAATTCGCGGATGGGGAAGGGTGGAAAGGGATGGCAGAAGAAGAGGTCACGAGAGAAGTCCTCGAAATCAGGCACACCTGGGCAGTTATATGACTGGGCGTGCCTGAACGTTGGCTGGCAGGACGCGTGGGCCGACACCGTATTATGCTGATCCCCCTGAGAGAAAGAGAGACGACTCGCTCGGAGTCTGAATCGGGGGTCTTAGGACCCGCGGTCCGGAGAAAATACCGCGTCGCACCGCGTCCTGCCGCCGCGTCGGGAACAGGCGTCAAGTGAGACGCGAAAGCTATACACATATATGAACGTGGGCGACCAGGTGCAGCTTCGCCAGCTATACTGTAATTATGGTATTCGGTATCATGAATACGGTACGAACGATCGCAAATTAACGATACCTTTGTGAAAAGTTAAAATTACAAATAAAAAAAAAAAAAGAATGTGTTTAAAACGTGTTTTCTCGATCGAAATTTCACGTATTTAGAGTTCATTTCGATCAACGTGACAGGAAACCGGGATGTAAAATGTCCATGTTTATTTATTAAACGTCCGTAGACACATTTGGTGTATCTCTACGAGTTTCCATTCACACGGCGTTGCAATCTGAAACTGCCGGACCGCAACGATAACGGCAGATGTTATTCTAGCTATCGCCAGAAGTACGCTATCTGGCCGATAAGAGGAGAGGCTGCAACTTAATCAAGAGCGACTTCTATGAAAATTACGTACCAGGAAGATGTTGATAGCGCATCGTGAAAAAGCGATGCACGTGTGCACGCTCGGAAGTATCACGATTCCTCCCACAGACGAAATTCGGGCGCGGGTTGGACGGGATAGATCCACGTCGCGTCGTGATAAAACGTCGGATTTAACGCGAGGTAACGGCGACTCGCCGATTCCAGAAAATCGATGTCCAATGAACGAACGGCGCCGTGATTAACGCGGCGCCGTGTAGTCGCGATCGGTCGAGCAAACGATAAGATTGGCGGAGGAAGAAGAGGAGAGGTGGGCAACTCCTCTCTCAAGATGGTGCACACACGAGTTAACAGTACGTCGATCTCTCGCCGCGTTAAACCGCATAAAATTTTTGCGATTACATTCCGATTCAGATTCGAAAGTCGATCGAGGTATTTCGTCGACGGTGCGACGAAGACGCGATAATAACGTCGAGTCAAACTTACGCGAAGAATCTTTTTCAAATTCACTCAGAAATTCACTCTTGTTCCAGATACGTCAGGATATTTCGGAGTTATACGTCGATTATAAATTAGATCGTGGAACGTGTCATCAATGTCGTACGGCAGTTTTGCGCGGACAAGAGTGGCGATTTTCTCAGCGGCTTCCAACCTTTCATTATCGTGAAACGGTCCTCTTCTTCCGCGTTCTCTGATTGACGCTTGAAGCTCAGCCTCGCTCAGCTAAGCTCCTCGTTAACTCGAATCAGGCCCGCGGGCACCGCTGGAAAAACTTCTAATTATACACGACGGCTTTCGTCAAAGATCCCGGCGACACTTTACGCCGACTTACGGTGCCGATCGACTTGCAAATGATGGGGGAAAAGAAACCGGGGGATCGGGGAAAGCGACGTCCGATAGCCTTGTCGGTCCAGGCGGCATTGTGAGTTATTGAGATTAAACGATTGGCCGCGGGGGCCCGTGTGGCTCGAGACTTTTATTCATCAACGTCGGCGTATCGCGTCGTTGACATCATTGCACCACGTTCGACCGTAAACCGATCTCAGAAACAAAAAGACGAGAAGACCCGAAAGAGCGGCGAGAAAGAGAGAGAGAGAGAGGGAGAAACCGTACTTAATCTCGGCTTATTAAATAAATCACAGCTCCCTATCACTTTGGAGCCCGCGATGTGTGTGCCCCTTGATGCCAGTCTTATAATTTCTACATTAATTTCTTTAATAGTCCACGAAACAATCCCGGCGACCATCGGAGTACGTCACGTCGGAACGGTATCATCGGCCCCGGGGGAGGAATTAAGCGCTCTCCAGATCGTAAAGGAGTTAAATTACAGTCGTAATTTATTTATAACGCCCGTCGCTTTATTTAGCGCGATTAACGCGATGAAAAGGGGCATGGCCTGCGTGCGTGAGTGCGAAATGGCCGTGATTTAATAATCCTCGGGATTAAACGCAGCATGATGAATCAAACTTTGTCGTGAGCCACGCACTTCGCGCGCTTTTTCATTAACATTTCAACTCGATATGCAGAACCTAATAAGCAAAAAAAGAAATGTATCGCGATATATAATGTTAAAGGTAGAGTATATTGTATGATGTATAATTAGCGATTAGTTTACATATTAAAAATTTAGATGACTTCAGGGAAAATGTGCTTGATAAGGCGAGTTTTTAATTCTTTTTGTATTCTAAGAAATTAACTCAGAGAAGACGTTTTAGCCATTTCTAGCTCTCCCATGCTTTTATCGAGACGATTGTCCAGTGGACCTTGAATGCTAACCGACTGACGTGTTTTATCCACCTACGCCAACAACACATTGCGTGTCAACACGCTCACGCATGATTCTTGTAAGAGAATACTGCAATATGCAAGAAAAAAAAGATAAGAATCAATCGTGAATGTAAAATCCCTGCTTTATTCCTAAATTATGCAAAATGCGGATTGTATAACAAAAAAATAGAAACTTGAATAGATTTCTGTATTTTCACACACCAAAACAAAACGAGAATGTCAAGGTAACTTTTCAAAGTCCGTATTTTATCCATACAGAATGTTCACGAATACATTTAATTTATTTTCTAAATTTTCTTAATTAATAAGCTCTTGAAACAAGATCCCCTTAGAAAATTCCATTGTCTATTCGCATTTGCGAAGCGAACACGAATTGTCGTGTTTTCAAGTGCTTACACTTCAGCTCGGGAATCAACTGATGAGAGGATTGAAATTGTATCTATGTGCAACATTCCTGTACAGCGTATTAAACAGTGGCGCGGATCGTATAATTCAAGCGAATTGCGCGACATTCCCTTGCGAAATCGCGTCGCTCTCGCCTCTGATGACGAGATCCATTAAACGTAAACGGACAAGCTGCCGGCTCTCTGCTGCCGTATCTCGCACTCGGCGGTGCCACGTCGGGATATCGGATAGTCCGTACTCCGACTTATCCAATTAACGGGAAGCGCTTTAACGCGACGTTAGAGCATCTCGTTAAAGCGCGAACGTGAACGTTGACGCGTTTTCGCGTTCGCGTTCCACCACGTAAAAGTGAAGAGTGACGGTGCCTGACGGCGAACTCACCTCTGACGGCGGCGTTCAGCCTGTCGAGATTGGCGAGCGTGAGTGGCACAGGGCCGAAGTGCATCACGATCTTTCCTACGTCGCCGCGACGTGCCATGAAGATGCCGGTGTAACCGCGCCTGATGTAACAGCTACAGGTATCGTTCACGACGAGATCGACGGTGGCGTTCAACGTGCCCTTTATCGCCCTCTTGACACGCGCGTGTAACAGCCGCCCGTGTCGCAGTTCCTTGACTTTTCCGGTGAAGATGTAGTCCGACTGGCGCACCTTCCCCAGGAACATCGTGTCGTTCTTGATCACCGCCGTCAAGTTCGCCCGACATTCCAGCAACTCTCCGGTCGACAAACTGCCCGACGACAGAGTGGCCCAGAGGATCACAAAACTGATCGTTGAATAGCTGATCATCTTGAATCTGACGACGTTCATCTTGTCTCGTGACGCATCAGTCGCGATTCTCGATGCAAATCAGACGGTCTGTGTTTTGAATTATTATTGCCTTTTTCGCGTCACTCGATGATGGTTTTGATGCCCCCCGTTATAAGCTTTACACACTCTTATAAACGTTGCACGACAAAGATACACTATGAATTATTTTTGACACGATAAGTTTGCACTGCTCGTAATTTACATTTCATTAATAAGAAACGCATTCACAAAATACAGGAGTTTCCCAAATCCGGAATCAAATGTCTATCTCGTAAAGTTGTGATCCTACAATCCGCTTGATAACCATCCGTTGGGTCCATTTAATCACAAGTTCGTTTGATTAATTCCCAGTTTCGAGTCGAAGACGTATCTTGAAGACCTCCTATCGTCAACAGTCTCCTTGAGAGAAACACGACGTTAATCAGAAGCAATCGGTACCGATATCTGGCTCTCTCTCTCTCTC